TCATATTAATAAAGACTTAAAAATCTTAAATAGAAATTGATTAAATCTCACAAAATAATTTGTACAGAGTAGCAGAGAGGCTGAGTTTGTAAAATATTCACTGATTATTTTGTATAGAAAAGTTCTTAAGAATGCATATACTGTACAGCTTAGTTTCAACATGGTTAAACTTAAATTCATTGAAAAAAATATGGTATATGCAAATATCTCTAAAGATGTTTGATGTACTCTAACAAAACTTCTCGATACCTAACCCGTTTGGAGCATAGAATCATAGTTTTCTTCTTAGAATAATTATTCTTAAACTGTTCTAGTGTAATTTGCACCCAACAATTTTACACAGAAAAAGTGTATAATTATTAAATTAATGGCAAAAATGTTTGTAGCAAGAGAGGCTCATCTAGTAGGGAGATACCTATAAAAATACTTGGCATTCAAAAGTACTATTTTTATGCTGTAATTTTCATAGATTTCAAAATGCTTTACTATTAGTGCAAATTTTGTTAATATTGTGAAAATTATGACCATGACAAAATTTTGATGCTATTCAGTTTTATGGAATTTCATAATAATTCATGTTATGATTTTATAAAATTCCAATATCTACATAAAATTGTATTAAACATTTACGCGATTGTACTACTGTTGACGATAATTTATATAAAAAATACAATCAACTACAGTTTGTGTCACATATTACCAACAACTTGTATTTAAATCGTTGCATTTAATTTTATTGCAATATGTATATTTACTTTCTATTTTGTTACAGCATACGTATAAATGTTAAATAAATATTAATAAATTTTCTATATATTTAGCTTTTGTTATGACACTCTTGGACATTTTTAAAACGTGCTTATCTACAAATTTTCTAGAAATCGTGTTGGAGTAATAAAAATATATACCACAAATTATTACACACACAAATTTTGTTTAAGCAGTGATTATATTAATAAAAGTTACTCCACAAAAGCATAGGAAGAAAATAGTGCAAATAAAATACAAGCAGTAATCAAGCGCAGGTAGCAAACGAATTTGGAAAACATCAACATAAATAATTCCAACATTTCTTTACGTATCACATATCATTAACATTTGATTGTTGACAAATGCCAATAAATATGAAATTTTGACACCTTATTGATATTTTTTTCAAGCAAATTTTTGTAATACAATTATTCAACAACAACCCTCAACACGTCTGCATATTGACAGAACTAAAGCTAACTAATCTAATGTAATAAGGGCAAAAACATAATATTTTATCAAATTTTGAAAAAGAATTGCCACACAAAAATTATGGTAGTATTTATCCCTTTTTCTCACATGTGATTATTTTTTATTAATAACTCTAATTTTACGTTTTAAGGCAAGTTTAGTACATGTATAAAATTTCATTTTTGTATATTTCAATGTTTCTGCCATAAAAGTAATTTTGTCTTGTTTTGCTCTTCCTATATTATTTGTATTTGTAACAGGTTTTTTGCACAAAACTGAAACAGTAGTCATTGTAATACCTAGTACAATTAATTTGTTAAAAATATTTTATTTTACGCACAAAGTTTAGTTGAATATCGACATTTTAATAATATATAATAATTCTAAAAGAATCTTTTTATTGATAAAGTATTGTCGGCATCTATTGTGGAATAAATTTCTTGTCAAAACAAGTAAAAATAGATTTAAGGACGTTGTTTGCCATTTTTTTTAAGAACTCGGGTTTTAGCCTTCGATCTTCAAGACCATTCATGCCGAAATTCTACCATAAACTAAATCTAACGTGACTCTTAATTTTGTTTCTACGCGATAAAGCTTTCACGCAAAATAAAGTGCTGATATTTTAAGGAATTATAGTGCTCCCGGCAAAATTGGTGCTTAGAGTATTTTAAGACTATTCGGTTCCACACAAAATGTTAAGTACCTATTAGGGAAACAGAAAAATTGATATTGCACATCAGGTGCTTTTATCTGAAAATTTCAGGTTCGTGTTTGCATGCTGAATTTAGGTGTTGGTTTCTCCCATTTTAACCTATAATTTTAATCCCCCCACGATAATTATTTTGTATGGGATCGATAATGGGGTAGAAAATATCCCAGACCGAGAGAAAATTGTGCAAAGGCTTAATGTAACGATTCTGGCAAGAAATAGTATCAGCACCCCCTATATTTCTCGAATGAATAATATATTATTAATGTTATTGGTATACGCATGTAGATTGATTCACAATTCATCAAAAGAAGAAGATAAATAAATAAAAACAATATCCATTAGTTCTTCATACCCACAGACCTTTGTGAATACTTATAAGACTGATGTAAACAATAGGCCACGGTAATAAGAGCACTAAGAAAACCACAGTAATACTGAATAACTAGATACTTCTAGCAAATCTAATCTAATCTGAAACTGCTTGAATAAACCACTAGAATCATCATGTAGTGCTTTTAAACAATATTTTATTATAACTTTTTTATGTGATATAAATTCTATTTTTAAAAGCACATATATCCCCAACGATTTTTAAAAGTCGTGATTCACTATGTATAAAATAATTTCAAAAAACACCATAACCAACCAGAGAGCGTTTTGCGCGTTAATACGAAAACTGTTATTTCTTCTATATATTTCAATACAACTAATTTTTTAATTTTCCTAAAACTTTTCGCCATCTTATGGCGTTTCAACACAATTTTACATTTTTGTGAACTTTTCCACTTAGATATGAAAGACCGGAATCGTATTTTAAATTTGTGAGACTTTATATGGTAGTTTAAAAAGACTATACTTTTTTACTATATATTTCCGTAATATTTTATTCCATTTGAGAAATGTGCGCTAGAGCTTTATATCAAACATGTCATAGACTCGACGTTTAAGAATATTAGTGGCTATTCCCTTTGATCTCGTTGAAATTTCTAACCGAAATGACCTCAAACATCGCTTAAGCAAATTTACTGGAGACGTTAAAATTACCTACCACGAGGAAAATTTGTTAACGAAGGACATAACCTAATTTGCGACTTATAAAATCTAATAATATCTCTAATTCTTAGATCAAAGGATAATAAAGTATAATGTAAGGTGATTCTATTTCTGAGACGTTATAAAATACTTTAAATTAATAAATGCGTCATTTAAAATAGTTCCACACAAACATGATTTTGTGGAGTAGCCAGCTAAATCACCTGATTTAGTACCCATTGATTTTTTTCTAGATGTCTTTGGAAATTAAAGCGTATGAAAAAAATTTGATTATTTTTAGGATCTTGCCTACACTAAATTTGAAAATTAGGAAAATGCTTAACAAAAATATGAAAAATTCAAATTATTTCCAGACTACTCGCCAATACAGAACTAGAGATATAAACTTCCACAAGAAAATTATTTTCACCGACGAATCGTGTTTTACGAAACGTGGGACAAGATGGTCTAATTCACTGACCACCACGATCACCTGACTTAGATCCCTGTGATTTTTTATTTTGGGGGCCGGGAAATAGAATGTGTAGCGTACGAGTAGTGAGGAACTGTGGAACAGGATTGAGGGTGTTAACAATTTGCAATTTGTCGCCGGTAAATTGTTACAGTAGTTCCGATAACAGAATTTTATTGGCTTATTCTTTTCTTGAAAATCTATCTCATCAAATATCGTATGGACTATTTGTTATACCGGGTGTCCCATTTTAAAAAATACACGTGAATATCTCTTAAAGGCTTAATGAAAAAAATTTTCAAGTAAAAGTTGTGGGGTTTTGAGGGGGACATCTAATGGTGATCTTGAACCATGTCCTTCAAGGTCAAGGTGATTTTTTCAAATGGAAACACATTTTTTAAACCAGAAATGAAAAGAGCAGAAAATTTTATATCCGGCTATGACCTTGACTATGACCTTCAAGAGCATTTGAAGGTCATTTGAAGGTCAATTTAGTTTTTTGTTGCAAAATTCATTTCCGTCTTGCCGAATAGTGTACTCGGGGGTTTTCGAGGGCGCGAATATGAAGTCAGAATTTCAATTGGTAAACATTTTTAATATTCATATGGATTAACACTTCAACTTCAACCTACGTTAAAACTCAAGGTCGAGCCGAGTATTCAACATATTGGATCCGCCGTATCGGATTTAACTATTACTAAATTCTGAGCTAATCTGAGTTCAAAAACATTTGAATAAAAAATACATGCCGCAAAGGGTTAATGGGTATTCTGGAAAATTATGGCGAGCCCAACATATCAAAAAGAAAAATATGGACAAGATTAAAGTTTTGCCTGCAAAATATTAGAATGACCTTCAAATGACTTTTGAAACTTAAGGTCATGATCAAGGTTATATCCGGAAGCAAAATTCTCCGCACTTTCTACTTTGGTCTGAAAGATACCGGTTTCTATTTGAAAAATTAACTTGACCGTGAAAAGACCGTGAAGGTCAAGGTCAATGTCATGGATGGACGTGAAATGGCCCGCTCTTTCATTTCTGGTCTCAAAAGTAGAATTTTGCAACAAAAACTTAAATGACCTTCAAATGACCTTCAAATGCCCTTGAAGGTCATGGTCAAGGTCATACGCGGATGTAAAATTTTCTGCTCTTTTCATTTCTGGTGTCAAAAATATGTGTTTCCATTTGAAAAAATCTACTTGACCTTGAAATGACCTTGAAGGTCATGGTCAAGGTCACCATTAGATGTCCCCCTCAAAACCCTACAACTTTTATTTGAAAAAAAATTTCATTAAGACCTTAACATAAGAGATATTCACATGTTTTTTTTAAAATGGGGCACCCGGTATAAAAAACATCCTGGACAGATTATTGACATCTAGAATATGCAAATATGCATATTTTATTTATACCAGTTTATTATTTGAGTTTTGAGCAAAACTAAATCATGTGAACACCGCAATAAGATGTACCAAATACTTCAATACGTCTTTTCAATTTAGATTATGCCCGCCGTATGCCCCCCAACTGGGTCTTATCACTAAAATAAAATTTGCATTTCAGGACGGCCGTCGCAGCTTCAGAACTGCACGCTGATAAACCAAACTTCGAACTCGCTCCAAGTGGACTGCACGGAGGGGTTCGACGGGGGACTTCCGCAAAGTTTCCTCATGGAGGTGCTCGAGCTGCCCAGCCTGCGACCGAGACTCAACCTGACCACTTACAGGACGCCGCCCTCCTTCGCGGCGAACGGATTAGACGCCGGGGCCAGCTACCGGATCATGCTCTACGCCGTCAACGCCAAGGGGCGCAGCGAACCCACCATTATAGACCCCGTCACCTTCAAGGGTGTCGCCAAATTGCAGGGTAAGAGGCAAACTTGTATTCGACTTGTGTTTACACTCCACGAAATTGACAAACTTGTCTTTAGCGCTATTTTCTCAGCTTTTGCGACTCGAAGCGGTTGTAGAATAGACTGGAGTGCATCACTTATCACTTAATCCCGAGAAACTAAAAGTAGTTAGTAAAGAGAACTACTCTTTGCACTTCTTAGTTTTATTTGTTTTAGTTCTTTTTGCACTTCGGAGCTAAAATAGTCTAACTTAAGTAACACATAGTACGTTATAGTCGCGATTTCTTTTGTATCTAATATCTAAATATTCACTTGTTTTTAACGGTCGAAGGTCCCGAAGAACCGAAAAACATTCTAGTTCTTTTTACGCTTCAATGCTAAATGCAGCTAAGATAAGGAATTTCAAATCAAATCATCATCAACAGAGAGCGGACAATTTGTGACTTTAACCTTGAACATAGATATGTCATTCAAAAACCTAGATACATTACCCACGACGCACGTGTCGTGTCGGGTACGCATCGGAAATTTACGTGATAATTCACGAAAATTCTACGGTACATACATTTTTAGGCGTTATAAAATATTTAGAAAATCAGAAATTGTATACTACACATTTATTAAATAAAGTTCGGTTAAAAATAGTGTCGTTCTTTTAATTGGAAATTAGGAGTCAATGTAACGACTACCCTCAGGCGACGCACATGATAGAATAGTCCAACTCACGCTCCATTCATAACAGGGCTGCAGTTTGAATTCTGACCAATAGGAATTCGATAAACGCAACCGATGTCGACGGATAGACTAGAGATGGGCGCGAGTGTCATTTCATTTCTTTAGAACTAAATTAACTTAATTATTTTCTCGTTATTTAACCTGTTCACATGATTTATGGATTTTAAATAAAGGGTACAAATCTTCGCGAGGATAATACGATATATTTGCTATACATAATAATTATATTTTGCATAGTTTATACACAATAAATTTTTGAACGCGTACAACAAAATCTCTACCAAAATTTGACCTATTCTTCGGGTTAAAGTCACACTTGTCCGCTCTCTAAATCATCAATAACAAAAGTTTTAGTACTTTTTGCACTCGGCAGATAAAATTAAAATTAGAAATGTCAAATTTGTATAACACGATTTCAGTTGCATCCATTTTTCATTAACTTACCGTCATTTTAATTATATTTTCACTCATAATATTCCTAGTGCTTGAATTATTTTCGGAAATTTTTCCGAAGGAACGCATTTTTTGAAGTCGAGACGTAGACGAGGGAAAATTTTCTAGAAAAATGCGTGATTGAGGAAAAATTTCCGGACATTAATTCGAGGACGTGGGGGATTCGGTAAGAAAATTTTACAACCAAAATTTATTTTAAAAATTTGACATGTTTCATTTTGAAACTTATTTCGCCAAAATAAAATTGGCTTGACAGGTAGACATTGTTTTGTGGTGCATGACATATATTTTTCTTCTTAAACGTCACATAATTTAATCGCATTTCACGTTTTTTTTTAATTCAAAAATGGCTCGTTTTGGAAATAAAAATTACGAAAACTTAAAAACAACACGTTCCTTTCACTTTAGTAATAAATGAGAAATTTTTGAATTCAAATATTTACCTTTGCAATACAATTCACTTAGTATTACTAAAATAGAAGGAAAGAAAGTTTTTGTAGAAAAGCGATGCCTAAGGCAGTTTATCAAAGATTCTTATTAAAACATAAAAAAACACATTCCTTTCACTTTGGTAATAAAAAAGGCATTTAATTTTTGAATTTAAATATTTATCTTTGCAACACAATTCACTTAGTATTACTAAAATAGAAGGAAAGTAACTTTTTGTAGAAAAGTGTCTATGGCACTTTATCAATGATTCTTACTAAAACATAAAAAAAACACATTTCTTACACTTTGGTAATAAAAAAGGCATTTAATTTTTAAATTCAAATATATATCTTTGCAGTACAATTCACTTAGAATTACTAAAATAGAAGGAAAGTAAGTTTTTGTAGAAATGTGATGTCTATGACAGTTTATTAATGATCCTTATTAAACATAAAAAACAGTACATTACATTCACTTTAGTAATAAAAAAGGCATTTAATTTTTTAATCCAGATATTTATGTTTGCTGTATAATTCACTTAGTATTACTAAATAGAAGGAAAGTAAGTTTTTGTGAAAAATCGATGTCTATGGCAATATATCAATGATTCTTAAAAATAACAGCAATCAAGTAGGTTTGTAATGTCAAAATCGTCTTCGCTATACGTCACGTTGACAGTCATTTTCTCTAGCTTCTAATTGTTTACAATTAAATCATGGCAGTGAACAACCAAAAAAACCGTATAGTATATGTAATTCTTGCACCAAAATAGGGGACATTCTTATGTCTCATAAAAATTTAAAGTATTTGCCATATTTACTGAAAAAAACTGGAATCAGTCCGCATCAAGAAAACCTTTTCGCAGCTATTCAAAAGATTTTGGAGGAAGATATCCCATCTTTTTTACATAAAACCAGGGCTCAGCAGAACAAAATTTCATCAAATTATTACATATATTTTATGAAACACAGAAATCTGATGGAAGTGAAAAATAATAATTATGCTCCTCGTTACTCTCCGTTGTTGCGAAGAGAAGAGTTTCAGCCAGAATTTCAAAAACATTGAGCGTTAATAGAAGAAATCTCGGAACAAATATTTGGTAAATAATTATTTGTATCTATGTATTTATTATTTTAAAATAAATAAAAACATTACAAAGCAAAATTCTGGATAGGTACTAATTTTTGAACCATATGATAGCTGTCAAAAAAAAATGTCCACTTATTAATTTTGTTTGCCTAGCTTGGCAGGAGGAAAAAAATTTCCGAAAAATTTGAAAGTTGCCATAGGCAACTGTCGAAATTACAATATGTATTTGGCTTAAAATGACAGGTGTAAAATTTTCTGAATTATTGCAGTTAGAAAAGATAATAGGTAAACCACTAAAGTGTATCGGTTAATACCGAAGAATCAAAAATCACTTTAGTTGTTTTAGCGCTCCGAAAGCTAATATTATAATTTTTAATATACCGATTTGAAACTTGTCATAAATGTCAAATTGGAATATCATAGCTTCCTTCTAGAGCCGTTTGCTTTAGTTCTGTTTGCACTTAGGAGCTAAAACAGTCAAACTTATGTAGCACATAATATATTACAGTCAAGATTTCGTTTATATCTAATTATCCACTTGTCTTTATAGTATTAAGGGTCTAAAAGGCATTTAGGATGTCATATTTTCATTTTAGCACTACTTCTCAATTAAAAAAATTAGTCCTTTTTGCAGTTTGGAGCTAAAATTAAAACTGGAAATGTCAAATTTATATAACACAGAATACACTATAGTCACGATTACAGTTGCATTGATTTCTTTTTACATTTCATGAATTTACCGGTACAAATCACCACCAAAGTGCATCTCTTAATAACAAGAAATAAAAAAACACTTTAGCTGTTTTTACGCTCCAGAGCTAAAACTAAAACTTTTAATGTTTTATACTTGTCAGAAATATCAAATTAGTATATCATATCTTTCTTCGACGGCTATTTGCTTTAGTTTTTTACACTTGAGAGCTAAAACAGCTAAAGTTAAAATTAGAAATGTCAAATTTAATAATACATAGTACACTATAGTCGCTATTTCATTTGCATTTAACATACCTTTTCTTTAGCCCATTTTTCCGACTGTTAAAATATGAAATGATTGTACAAAAGACTAAAGTGGATTTTAATCTCGAGGAAGCAACAAGTGTTTAGTTCTTTTTACGCTCCTGAGCTAGGTAAATATTACGGTAAATATTTTTATTGACCTATGACAGAAATATCAAGTTAGAAAGTTTTATCTTCCTTGTAGTGCTTTATCTCTTTCGTGAGCTAAAAACAGCTAAAAGTAAAATTAGAAATGTCAATTTTATGTAACATACAGGGTGTAAGAAATTCTACTACCATTACTACAGCATGAGATGGAGTAATCATGAATGAACAAAAAAGTTGTATATTACAGGGGCGTAAGATTAACAGTTTTTAAAATACAGCGAGTATTAATATTGGGGAGTTTCATCACAACGTGGCAACAGCGCTTAACCTGCCACGTGTGCACGCGGCAGACTTGTCCTACGGAAAAAATGTAAACAACTATTATTATGAAACATTAAGTTCCGTATTTAAGCACGACACCTTCGAATCCAATTTTCGCGCACTCGCTGGAAAACACCTCAAGAAACGGAAATAGTGGTACGCAAAAAACACTCCGACACGGTCGAATCCAGATACCAATTGAATTGCGTATTGGTGGTTGCTGGACACCTTAGTACCTCGAGTTAATAAACCGCTGCGGCGTTGTCACATTACTCGATATGAATTTTATCGGAAGGGCATTTTTAGTTCTAACCGAATGAAATACACTTTTAGTCTACTATTTGCACTACGTACGTGGTTTAAAATAGCTAAATCTAAGAGTACTGCGGCAACAACTTTTTATAACATACGTTTATTTTTGTACTAAATCAATTCATGTCTTTCTTTTTGTACCATTTTCTTAGTTATAACTAATTAAAAACCATTTCCAGTCACTCTGAGGTTAAACTTTTTAAATACAATGAATGTATGAACTGTATTTTATTTAAAAAATTGTACAGCGTATAAAACAAGGATCATATACTCATTATACGGTGATGGTATTGCAGCAAGGCGATAAAATATCATATAATCCCTACAAATTGATACAGATAGCAGTTGGGACACTGCCGAATTGATAAATTTCACAGTTTTTATCGCCGCTCGGTCAAGTTCCCACTTTTAGCAATTTACTTTTGTATTGGTAACCCAATTCAACATAATTTATGGGACATAACTTTAGATCGGGAGAGGGTCTACATCTGGCTTATATACCAACTGCTGTGAAACCGAGATTATTCCGGGAAGTCCAAACTTACTTTCTAAGGGATCCTGCAGCTTCTCG